GGATTTTGCCTTAAAGGCTATTTTATCAGAGATTAATATTGCCACTCCTATTCTTTTTTCGTTATTGTTTGCTTGATACATTTTTTCCCATCCTTTGAGTTTTAGTTTGTTTATGTCTTTGTATCTAAGGTGTGTCTCTTGTTGACAGCATGTTGCTGGATCTTGTTTGTTTGTTTTTTTAATCCATTCTGCTACTCTGTGTCTCTTTCCTCTTACATTTAAGCCATTAACATTCAGTGTGATTATCAGTAGGTATGTGTTTACTGTTGTCATTTCATTGTACTTTTTTTTGTGTGTGTGATGTTGACAGTCTCTTTGTCCCACTTAATTTTCTGTACTGAGTTCTTTTTGTTTGTGGATTTTCTTTTCATTTCTTTTGTTGTTGTTGATTTTGTGTTTACTGAGTCTTTATGTTTTTCTTCTTTTTTATTTTGATGAGTAGGTTTGTTAACTTTCTTTGCGGTTACCTTGAAATTTGCTTTTATCTTCCTAAGTTTAAACCAGTGTTTTATTTCTTGCTATCTCCTTGACTTCCTCTCCCTATGAAAGTTCTATAGCTACATTGTTTATCCCTCCTTTTTTGTTTTGATGTCATCATTTACAGATTGATGTCTCTGGTTCTTTGAATTCAGTCTTTTAACTTTTATTTTTGAGACTTCTTTATCTGGGTTGATATCTGGCTGATGTTGTCCTGTGTCCTAATCTCAGGTTGTTGTCTGCTATTGGTTCTCTATCCGAAGGACTCCCTTTAATATTTCTTGTAAGTTTGGTCTGGTTTTTACAAATTCCCTTAATTTCTGTTTATCTGGAAATGTCTAATTTCTGGTTTTTACAAATTCCCTTAATTTCTGTTTATCTGGAAATGTCTAATTTCACCATTGTATTTAAGAGGCAGTTTTGCTGGATATATAATTCTTGGTTTGCTATTTTTTTTCTTTTAAGGTTTTGTATATGCTGTCCCATTGCCTTCTTGCCTGCATGGTTTCTGCTGGGTAATCATAGCTGAGTCTTATTTGTTTCCTTTGTAGGTGACTTTGTTTTTTTCAAAGCTCTCTCAGGATTCTTTCTTTGTCTTTGGTTTTGGCAAGTTTGATTATGATACGTTTGGGTGACTTCCTGTTGGCTCTCCTGTATGGAGTTTGTTGAACTTCATGGGTGTATATCTATTGTCTTTCATGATATTAGGGAAGTTTTCTGCCAGAAAATCTTTGAAAATTCGCTTTGTGTTTTCGATTGCCTCCCCCTGTTCTGGAACCCTGATCATGTGCAAATTTTTCCTACTGATAGTGTTCTACATAGTTCTTAGGCTTTCTTCATTCTTTTTTTCTGATTTTTCCTCAAACAAATTGGTGTCAAGGGATTTGTCTTCAAATTTGCTGATTCCGTCTTGTATTGTTTTGGTTCTACTCCTGTATCCGTCTATTGAGTCGTATATCTCTGAAATTTTTATTGTTAATCTTTTGGATTTCTAGTTGCTGTTTTAATATGGTTTGTAATTAATTAATTTATTTTTTCTTGTATTGTTTTCCTGAATTCTTTATTGCTTTGTTTGTATTTTCCTTAATTTTGTCTGTGTTCCTTGATTTTGTCTGTGTTTTTCTTGATCTCTTGGAGAGCCCTGTATATTAGTCTTTGAATTCCTTATCAGATAGTTTCATTACCATTTCTTCCTCTGGAAAGTTTTTTGGTTCTTTATTTTGGTCACTTGCTGGAGCCATCTTGTCCTGCTTCTTTATGTGATTTGCTGTTGTCTTGTTGTCTCCAAAGCATCAACAAGTTATTATGTTTATTTATTGTTTGTTTGTTTGCTATGTCCTGTATTTTTGTTTTGCTCTGGTATATCCAAGTAGGCTGGATGTGTGTGCTACTCTGACCTCTATTCTGGCTGCATTGCAGCTCTCATCTGCTGTCTTTGGGTGGGGGGGTCAGCAACTCAGTGCATGCGCATGGGTCTCTGTTTGCTGGTCTTGCAGGGCAGCTGAGGATGTAGCTGGCATTTCTGGTGTGGTGATGTATCTGTCTGGCCAGTCACCTGGCCATGGACACAGGGGACGTTCTCCCTGGTCGCTGGGTTGGGTGTTGTATATGTGTTCTGTCAATTGCTGGGTGGTTGGGGCAAGACTGCCTGGGTTATTGATCACTGGGTGGCTGGTTCGGAAACTCTCACCAACAGTCTTGGGTGGTCAGGGCTGCATGGGGGTGTTTGGAGTGGGCACAAGCTTCTGGTTATGGGGAGGAGGCGATGTGGGGGATGAGGTGGGGGGATGTCACATGTCCACGGGTGCCCAGTTGGAAGCTGTGCCCTTGTCCATTAGAATGTGCCATGGGGGATGTTCTGCATCCAATCCTTAGGTCCCCAGTACAGGTGGCTATAGGGAGTAGGAGGCACTGCCAGCTGCCAGGCCCCTGGCACAGGTGACTGGAAGGAGTGAGAGGAACTGCTGGCCCTCAGGTCCCCGGTGTGGGTGGCCGGAGGGAGTAGGAGGCACTGTTGGCCCTTGGGCCCCAGCACAGGTGGCTGGTGGGAATAGGAGGTGCTGCAGGTCCCTGGGCCCCTGGCGCCAGTGGCTGAGTGAAGGGGCGGGTGCCTCCAGTCCATGGGCTCCTGGCTTAGGGGGTGGGGTGGTGGTGGATGCTGCTAGACTGTGATCTTGTGTGGGAAGGGGGCTGGGCAAAGGGGGGTGGGCACAGGGGACACGGGTGGGCCCAGTGAGTAAGGTGTGTGCAGGGCGGGAACTTTTGCAGGGCGGGAACCATTCCTGCCTGGCTCTGGACATGAGTGCAGAGTTGCTTCTGCTTGGCTGCACCAGGTGATGGGGGTTTTGGCTGGGAACGCTTCTTGCTTTGTCTCAGTATGGCCACGCTATGCAGGTTTGGCTAGCGGGGCACTGGCAATCTGTAATTCTCCGTGTCTGCTTTTTTTGTACTATCTCTCCCTCCACTTGGTGCTCAGTCCGATTCTTCAGCCTTGTCTTTGATGCTCAAGGTTGCAAGGTTGTCATCTATATCAGATTCACTTGTTTTCTTAGGTCTTTGTTGTAAGAGAAACATTATGAATTGTCTAACTACTCCATCTTGGACTGCCTCCTCTGTTTCAGGCATTTTAATCCAGGTAGAGATCTTGTTAGTTCCAGGCATTTTAGTCTTGAGAACCTCTCTTTAAATCAAAACAAAACCCTTAGTTGCCTTATCTAAGGGATAAACAAAATGCAGTATATCCATAAAATGGAATATTATTCGGCAGTAAAAAAGAATGAAGTACCAAGACATTCTGCAATGTAGATAACCTTAAAAACTTTATGCTAAGTGAAAGAAGCCAGGCGCAGAAGACTATAATTGTATGATTCCACTTATATGAAATGTCCAGAATTGGCACATCCATAGAGACAGAAAGTAGATTAGTGGTTGCTAGGGGCTGAGAAGAGTGAGGAATGGAGAGTGATTATTAAATGGGTAGAGGGCTTCTTTTTGGGGTGATGAAAATGTTCTAAAATTGATTATAATGATGGTTGCACGACTCTGTTGAATATACTAAATACAATGGAATTGTACACTTTAAATAGGTAAATCTTATGGCATGTGAAAGAAAGCCAAAAAAAAAACAAAATTGACTGGAGCTGTATTAATTTGAAGCATTGACTTCCAAGTGTCTTACTCACATGCTGACAAGTTGGTGCTGGCTGTTGTCAGGAGAGCTCATTTCCCCACAACACGAGCTTCTCCACGCTGTTTGAGTATCCTCACAACACGGTGACTGACTTCCCCCAGAGCAAGTAATTCTGGAAAGAGAGAACCAGGGAGAAGCTGACTTTTTTTATCATCTAGCCTCAGAAACCACATAGCATCAATTCCACCACATCTATTTGTTAGAAGTGAGTCACTCATTCTGGCCAACATTCAAGGGTAGGGGAATTAGGATCTACCCCTCACCTTTTGAAGGGGGAGAGTGTCAAGGAATGAGCAGACAGAATTGAAAAGCACCATACTGGGTAAGAATGGATGAGGGCTTGGCCTAGGAGAATGACTCAGAAAGAGAGAGGAAGAAATGATTCTGGGAGCCTCTTGATAGGACCACTCCAGTGGACTTGGTGCTTGAGTGATAACAGCAGGAAGAACAGCTGGGAGTAGTCGGAGATGATGCTAGGGTTCAAATCCCAGGAAAGAGAGAGTAGGACAATGACTCTGATACAAACGGGGCATTCATGAGGAGGGTGAGATTCTGGAGGCTATTTGAGGCAGATGGGAAGCGCTTGAATAGGGAGAGCTTTCCCAGGCAGTTGAAAATGTAGGCCTAAAGTTGATGGGGGGAGAAGGTCTGATGATGGCGTCACTGAGCAGAAGCGAAGCCCTGGATTGGGCCAGAGAAGTAGAGTGCTTCTGGAGAATGTCGAGGGTAAAAAAGGAGACAAAAGGGAGAGCACTAAGAAGGGAGATTTAAAGAGAGAGACAGTTTGAAGCATTAAATACATCAAAAGATCAAGAATGATGAGGACCAAGAAAAGTAGGATGAAATCTTCCTTACTCCAAAATGCCTTTGTTGGGCATTGTACCTAACCAAGACGTCACTACACATGGATGGGGGTGGTAGCTGAGGCCTGGAGCTTTGTCATCAGTCAGGTCTGGCCTCAGCTCACTTTCTCCAATTATTGACATGCCACTTAAATTCACTAAGCCTGATCTCTTTGTCTGTAAATGGGAAATACTTATTCCGTTGAATCATTGTGGAATTTATTAGATAAGAAGTAAATAATGGAAATAAGTGAATGAGGAAATCAAAGAAATTGCCACTCTCTAAAAGCAGTCTAATGACTTGTGAGTGTAGGGTTTTGAGTGAATTGGAGGAAAGAGAAGTCTGGATCCAGCAGGTTAAGTGGATGCTGAAGACATGGGCATCCCAGGTACAGATTTTTCTGTTCATAGTTTGTGAGACATTTGGGCCATTGCTGCTGACAGGCAGTTCTGAATCTGGGAGATGACTATGTTTTAACTTCTGGTTTCAGGTCCGACTGCAGACGCAGCCCTCAAGTCCACCTGTACAGCCTCCCATGTACTCTGGGACCTTTGACTGTTTCCGGAAGACTCTTATTAGAGAGGTACGGTGTCTTGGTGCTGGGCATTCCTCTGACTCGGAGGAACACATTTACAGGGTTGGTTTGTTGCTCACCCAAGTGGGTAGGGTAACTTTTCACAGCTCTGCTGGAGGTCTAGCCCATAGCTGTGGCTCCCTCACTGTGCCATTCCAGGCCTTCCTTCTGTTATACCTGCTCTGGAGTCTTTGATAGTTCTAGCTGCTGTTTGTTTTTTTGTTGTTGTTTTTCCTGTTTTAATAATTTATTTTCTTTTTGTTGTTGTTGTTGTTGAGACTATGCGCATCAGAACATACACCAATCCTACAAGTTCTAAATGTACAATTCAGTGATATTGATTACATTCTTCAAGTTATGCAACCATTCTCACTCTCCTCTTCTGAATTATTACTTCTCCATTAACATAAACTCACTGCCCCCTAAGTTTCCTATCTAATCTTTTGAGGTGTCATTGTTAATTTGATCCCTTATAGATAGTTCTTTAAAAGAACACAATGCTCAAGGCAGACATTCTTTACTAACTAAGCTAAACTATTGTTTGGTTTAAAGAAGACTTTAGGGGGTATTTTTGGTTTAAGTTTAAGGTTTAAACGTTATCTCAGGGCAATAGTCTTAAGGGTTCCAGCCACGTTGGCTCCAGAAAGTCTAGATTCCATGAGAATTTGAAATTCTGTTCTGCATTTTCTCCTCTTGATCGGGATTCTTCTGTAGACTTTTTGATCAAAGAGCCAGGCACCATCCAGTTCTTCTGGTCTCATGGCAAAGGAGGCAGTTGTTCATGGAGGTAGTTAGCCACACACTCCATTTCCTCCTCCTCCGCCTGCCTCTCCTTCTTTCTCTGTTGCTCCAGGCAAATAGAGACCAACTGTTGTGCCTTGGATTGCTGCTTGCAAGTTCTTAAGACCCCAGGCACTATGCAGTAAACAATGAGGTTGAACAGAAGCACTACCACACGATAATAGCAATAATAGTTAACTGGGATGTCCCATGAAACCATGACCCTATACCTCCAAACCAAGAAACCAAATCCCATGATGCTAATAAAATGGTTCTGTCTTTGGAAGGCAGAATTAAGACCAACGGGAATTGGTGAGAAATAATTGGAGATATGAAATGGAAGGAAAATACCAATCTGGATCAGTCAGTTTGCCAGGAGTCAGTGGCAGAAGCTCATGTGAAGTCTGGAGGAAAAGTCAACCAGTCACAGAAACACTTAGTGAGGCCAACAGATTTTCTAAATCTCTAAACAGAGACATTAAATCAGTTCAGGTTTATTGGATTACATAATTTTTCAGATATTTTGAAGAGTAAAAACATGGAATTTTTAAAAAGTAATATTAGTCATATTTATTACTCACTTCATTAGCACATGTGTAAAAAGACCTTCTTAGGACATTTTCTCTTTCTTTGTTTCCTAAAACATAATTGTCAAATGAATAAACACTCTATTAAAAATGTGGACTTAGGAAGTGAGAGGCAGGTATCACCCAGATAAAAAGGAAATGCTGTTAAGTAATGGTCTTAGCCTTGGAGGAGAGGTTGTTCCCAGGGTTCTTGCAGGACTCATCTGTAGGAGGAAGATTTCGAGGTGGGGTCCACTCGAGCTCCCTTGGGTGAAGCAGTGCTGCCCTTTCTTCTATAAAGTGTTAACTGCTTGCATCTGTGGTGCCCAGGATGGAGTTTAATCAGTGCCCAGTGGATCCTCTAGGCTCTGGTCAGCCCTTACAGAAGAGAGGCAGTTTTCAACGCCTCTTAGTTGACAAACATTATTGAATACTTGTCTGGGAGTGGGCAGTGTGCTGGGTGCTGGGGACCTGGGGAAAATCGCTTGTATAAACCCAACTGACTGCAGAATCAAGTAGGAGTCCTTAGTCCATGTTTGTGGTGTCTGTGGTTTTTGCTATGCCAGAGTGAGCTCTCTGCTTTCTGGAGCTGCCAGGCAGGGCTCTCAGTTGTGCTGCATGGAGCTGAGCGGGCTGGCAGAGTGGAAGGAAGGCTGGACAAGTTGTCGGAGGCATGGATTTGGCCCTTCAAGACCTAGGTGGCCTCGGCCCAGGTGGGGAGCTGTGGGAGGTGCTTTGAAAGAATTTGTCATGGATTCTATAGATCTTCCTTAGAACCTTCCCTGTCCCATTCATCCTTTCCTATTTATTGCCTCTGTACTTTGTCCTCAGTGAGGCCACCTGTAGCCTGTAGCAGTGTTAGGCCTTTGCAAGATCCAGGCAGGTGCTGACAGGTACAGTTTCTACGTACCCATTTCTATATGATATGCATTTACTACTATACTTTATATACATTTTTAATGTGTTTTAGCTATCCATTTGTGGTAGATGATTTTTAACTCTTACACTTCTATCCCCTCTCTGCCCTGCCTGTATAATTTTGTATCACACTTTGTGGTTTAATCCATCTTACTGTTTTCATGATTATAACTTTGTATGATTTTTTTCTCTTTACCAAATAATGTACCGTGATGTGTGTTTTCATTTCCTTTGCAACTTTTTGTTTCTCTTGGGGTTAGGTTAATGATCATGTCAATGTCTTTTGTTGGGTTTTCTTTTTGAGTCACTGTCTCTGTCATCCTGTACCCTAACTCCTCTGTAGAATACCTCTCCGTTTGGTTTTCCACTGCCCAAACAGCTATAGTCTGTTGTTCCAGTGTGTGTTATTTTGTTCTGTTTTTTCTTGGAAACATCCCTCTCGGAGTCCTCCTCCTCCTGCTCCCATCTGGATGTGCTGCTTCCCAGGCCTTTTGTACCCAGTGCCATCTTGGCAAGCCCCTTCCCCTCTCTTGGGGTGAATGCCTGGTCTCCTGGCTCTCAGATCTTCCTATTCCTTGGCTTACTACCTCATTTAGTTGGAATATCATCTGTCTATCTGTCTGTCTAATTATTTGTTGGCTACCACATAGTTGCTTTCATTACCAAACTGTACTGGTTAAAATTGATGTTCAGTCCTAATATTATTATTTTTTTAATACTAAAAATAACATGTCTTGATACTTAGAAAATACAAAAATTTCTTAATCACTTGTAACTTCACCCCAAGGAAATCAGATCACATTGTATCTGTTTTGTAGCTTGTTTTTTTTGCTTAGTAGTCTCTTCCCTGGTTACAATGTGATTTTATGACTGTGTGATAGTCCATTTATGGAATTCCCATAAATTTGTCTCCTCTTTGGGGCTTTTAGATTCATTCCAAAGTTTTGGCACCTTATAGATGTCTGACATCATTCTTTTTACATCTCTGAATATTTCCTTAGAATAAATTCTGGATGGAGAATTTTGGGACAAAAGGATATATACATATTGCCAGATTGCCTTGCAGAATGGGACCTCTTTCCACTCCCTCTAGCAGTATATAAGCGGAAAATTATTTCTGATAAATGTAGGGGTTTTCTTCCATTCTAAAGCTCTCCTTGCTTGGAGGAGAGGTAAAGGAAGAAAGCCACAGGTTAGACGACACGCTGCTTCCCTGTTTCAGTGGCGTAAGGGGTGGCTGGTGTCTGTAAACAGCTCCTGCTTCAATGATTTCTTGCAGGGCATCACAGGACTGTATCGGGGCATGGCTGCCCCCATCATTGGCGTCACCCCCATGTTTGCTGTTTGCTTCTTTGGATATGGTTTGGGGAAGAGACTGCAACAGAAATCCCCAGAGGACGTGCTCAGGTGAGTACTTGTGGGCGCAGAGCACTCAGTGCTGTTCTGCCTGATGGTATGACATGGGTTACAGGAAAGAACCTTGGCAGACAGGCAAGGGATGTCCTCCTGGGCCCCTGAGATAGGATCCTGGGAGCTTCGCATGAGAGAGGTGGCTGATTTTCTTTTGCCCTGGGATCTAAAAGGGAAAAAGAAAAAAACCAGACTACTCCCCTAGTTGTCATAATTGCTTCTGGGGATACTAGTAATACCAACCCCGCAGAGCTATTGGGAGCTCTGAATGCTAAAATGAATGTAAAATGCTGTGAACAGTACTGGTGCTACAGCAGCAACAGCAATAGCGTCGTTGTTTTCCACCACCTGGTTGAGAAAAGGGAAGCTTCCAACTTCTTTTTCCTTTATTTTTATAACATTATTATAATATGATTATAATTATTTCAGATATTAGTTTCTCTGTTAAAGCGAAATAGATTAGCATGTTTTCTTTTAGTAAACTTCGAGAAGTTGGATTTGAGTGTTAAGAGGCAGCTAAGTTGGAATTACAGCACAGAATTTACAGAGTCATTAATGAAAACAGCTGGGGTTCTCAGGATGCTGGGGAATTCTGAGCAGAAACATCACATGACAAGGTGCCCTCAGTCTGAGCCAAGCAGGGTGACAGCCCCTGGAAGGGGTTGCAGGCAGCACAGGACCCACAGAGGCTGGCCAGGCTTGGGATCCAGGAACTCAAGGGAGGGAAACCCAGGCTGCCATGTGGTTGTCTTCTGTTGCTACTTCAGGCCACAGCCAGTGAGAGTCTAGGATGTAGATAGAGGTGCTTGTAACATGAAACTCTTTCTGGAGTCCTTGGGACCCTCTGAATGTGCTCAGCTTCTATAAACAGACACAGGTAGCCCTGAATGTGTGTGAAGGATACATCCTTTCTGACTGCGTGGCTTTTCAGTGCCTGTGCTGGCTCACAGCTGTAACAGAGCCATGCATGAGGCCCCCCAGCAGGGTCATCACCGGTACTTTGGCCTGTGTTTCTGTGCAGCCACATCAGCTCCCAGAGAAACACCCTTCCTGCCTAAGCAATGACTGAGACACTTAGGACCCCATCCCCATAATCCTGCCAGCCCTGTCACATTCACCTCCCTGTAGTAACTTTTGGGGGTGATGTGGAAAGTAGCATTACCAGTGCTTTGAAATGGGTGAGGTAGAAGCCCAGGAAGGTCCAGCTCTCACAGGTACCTCCGTGGGTTGGGTGGGGTGCTGGTGGCAGAAAGGACCAGGCAGTGATAGAATGTCCCCATGGTGCCATGTGTACACACAGAGAGACCCCTTTCAGAGGAAAGTCCCCAGTCCCAGGAGATGGAGAGGTGCCCAGCTTGGGGTCTGGCCATCCGGGCATCCTGAGAAGAATAGAACATGTTAGTCTAATGGAGGGAAATTTAGTTGCCAGGAGGGCTTCTCTTGAGGACAGCAGTGTGAAGTGATTGTGAAGGAGGCCATGCATGAAAGCAAGTCTCTTGCCTGTGTAACAGTCAGCTTGTGTGCTGGGCGTGTGTGCCTGGTGTGTGCCTGCGACAGATGCGTGAGCCCTGACCAGGGTGAGTGCATGGAAAATCAGGGCTGCTGAGACTGGTGGTGTCCTGCCTGGAGGCAAGGACCTGTAGTGAATGTCTCTCTACCCCATTTTGCATCTGTTCCTCAGGACTTGGGCTCCTTGTTTACTGGAACCAGCCTGAAGACTCAGCCTTTGGGGCTTGGGATCAGGAGGGGCCTGAGGCTCAGGCCACTCTGAAAAGTTTTCAGCAACATTTGCTAAGTTGTGGAGACTGCTGAAATGCTGTTAATTGTAGCTTTGTGCCCCAGTGTCTCCAGACCATGTTGGTATTGCTCATCCCCAAGAGAAAAGGAAGATTCAGAGGTGGTACAGACAACAGGGGGAGATAGATGCTAGGAGCCCCATACTCCTTGGCATACTCAATGTGGCTCATTCTGTGGGCACTGGAGTGAGGCCCCATATCTCTGGTTATGGAGGATCATTCCCTGCAGAGGGGGGCCACAGGACCATCATGCCTACCTGGGTGGTATCGTGGCTGCCAGGCCCAGAGGAGATTTCTGTCTGAGCCTTTCTCAGTGTCTTATAAATTCCTTGCAGCTGACCTGGATGCCCCTTGGCCTGTGGAGGTGACCACAGCCATTCTTCTTGGCCTTGAGGCTGCCTTGCTTGAGTCTTGGCTTAAAATGTTCTCAGATCCTTGGTGACCCAGGGGAGGTAAGGTAGGATGGGAACTGGGGTTGACTGAGGTCCAGATCCTTGGTTAGAGGCTTTTTCTCTAACAACTCGGCATTTTACAGAGAGAGAGTCAAGGATTAGAGAGACCTGGAACTTGTCCATAGTCACTGCTTGGAAGGCCCAGGGATGGAATTTATACTCTAAAGCTTCTGCCGTGGGTGGGGCCACTTGAGTGTGCAACTCCTGTTGCTCTTGGCACTGAGACCTCTGCCCTGGAAAACTTGATATCAGAATGCCCCTGTGGGCTGTGTGCCATCGAGTAGAGGGTTTCCTAGGTTGTAGTCTTTACAGGAGCAGATCGCCAGCTATTTTCTCCCACTGAGTTGCTAGTGGGTTCAAACCACCAACCTTTAGGTTAGCAGCTGAGCACTTAAACATGCACCACCCAGGCTCCTTATAGAAGGCACCTGGAACGTGACTTTTGTGTGAAATCTGATTTGTGGCTGGGCTTCTGCCCACTCCAAGTACTTACTTTTTCTTACAAAGCTATCGTTTTTGCTGGGATTGCCCTGTCTGGGGTAGTTAGTCACTGTCTTAGTCACAGGTGCCTGCCTATGGTTTTTGTTTTTAATGCAGCTACCCCCAGCTGTTTGCAGCTGGGATGTTATCTGGCGTATTCACCACAGTAATCATGACCCCAGGAGAGCGGATCAAGTGCTTGTTACAGGTAAGAGTGTGATCTGGGTGGAGGCGGCTAGCTTTTACCATTTAGTGCACAGTTTTGTCTGGATGTTTATCTCCTGTCACCTTTTATAAAGACTTCAGGTCAGGTGTGCAAATCAATTTCAGGGTTCTCAGAAATATGGAAGCAGTCGTAGGACAATCAAGAATCAGGACAATATAACAAACCAACCAAAAAGTCACGCCTGTGACATGCCGGATCAGACCTATCTGCCTTTATTAGCAGCCACTTTAGGAACCCTGAAAGGTAAGTCATATTTCATCAGGTAGAAGGGAGGCTGCTCCTGCCCCGGTGCCCTGAGAGTGCCTGGTGTTGTTCTCAGGCTGAGGGTGTGAACTGATTGCCTACCTTGGTTATCCGGTCTTACCCTGTAGTAAGGAATGTTACTGCATCTTTCTTCTAATGGCTGAAATAATTTAATATATAATTCTTGCTAGAAAAGTTTTTCTATTGTACTTTAGATAAGGGTTTACAGAGCAAATTTGTTTCTCAATAAACAATACACATTATTTTGTGACATTCATTGCAATCCCCACAATGTGACAGCATGTGTCCAGTTCCTGTCCCTTCCTGCCTTCTCATCTTGCTTTTGGGCAGGAGTTGCCCATTTGGTCTGGTATATTTGTTTTTTAATTTTTTTTATTATACTTAATTTTTTTTAAATTTCTTTTATTGTACTTTAGATAAAGGTTTATAGAACAAATAGTTTCTCATTAAACAGTCAGTACATATATTGTTTAATGACATTGGTTAACAACCCTATGATTGGTTAACAACCCGATGACATGTCAACACTCTCCCTTCTCGACCTTAGAGGACCCATTTTTTTTTTTTTTTTGGTGAAAATATACATAGCCAAAGTTACACCATTTCGAAAGTTTCTACACGTACAATTCAGTGACATTGATTACATTCCTACAGTTGTGCTGCTATTCTCACTGTCCTTTTCCAAATTATTCCATCACAGTTATCTTCAACTCACTGCCCCCTAGGCCTCCCATCAAACCTTTTGAGTTGCTGTTGTCAATTTGATCTCACATCGATAGTTCGTTTTTTTATTTTTTTGGTACCTTAGATGAAGGTTTGCAGAACCAATAGTTTCTCATTAAACAGTTAGTACACATACTGCCCTGTGACAATGGTTAACAACCCCACGACATGTCAACCCTCTCCCTTCTCGACCTTTTTTTTTTTTTGGTGAAAATCTACATAGCCAAAGATACACCATTTCAAAAATTTCTACATGCACAGTTCAATGACATCGACTACGCTCTTTCAGTTTTGCTGCTATTCTCACTTTAGATGAAGGTTTACAGAACAAAATAGTTTCTCATTAAACAGTACGCATGTTGCCCTATGACAATGGTTAACAACTTCACATCAACACTATCCTTACTCGACCTTGGGTTCCCTATCACCAGCTTTCCTGTCCCCTTCTGCCTTCTAGTCCTTGTCCCTGGACTGCTCTGCCTCATTAGTCCCATTTGGTTTTATGGGGCTGTCCACTCCCCGGCTGAATGGTGAACCTCGGAAGTGACTTCACCACTGAGCTAAAAGGGTGTCTGGGGGGCCATACTCTCGGGGTTTCTCCAGTCTCCTTTAGGCCAGTAAATCTGGTCTTTTTTTTTGTGAGTTAGAATTTTGTTCTACATCCTTCTCCAGCTCTGTCCAGAACCCTCTGTTGTTATCCCGGTCAGAGCAGTCAGTGGTAATAGGCGGGCACCATCTAGCTGTACTGGACTCAGTCTGGTGGAGGCCTTGGTAGCTGTGGTCCATTAGTCCTTCAGACTAATCTTTCCCTTGTATCCTGTTCTCTTCACACTTCCTTGCTCCCGAAGGGATGAGACCAGTGGAGTATCTTAGATGGCTGTTCACAGGCTTTTAAGACCCCAGACGCTACTCACCAAGGTAGAATGTAGAACATTGTCTTCATAAACTGTGTTATGCCAGTTGAGCTAGATGTTCCCCGAGACCATGGTTCCTACAGCCCTCTGCCCAGCAATTCAGTCCCTCAGGGAGTTTGGAAGTGTCTCTGGAGCTTCCATGACCTTTCCTTGTACAAGTTATGCTGGCTTCCCCAGTATTGTGTACTGTCTTACCCTTCACCAAAGTTACCACTTATCTATTATCTATTTAGTCCCCCTCCCCCCACCCATCCCTTGTAACCAACAAAGATTGTTTTTGTGTGTAAACTTTTACATGAGTTTCTACAGTAGAGGTTTCATAGAATATATGTCCTTTTGTGATTGACTTATTTCACTCAGCATAAGGTCCTCCAGTTTAATTCATATTATGAGATGCTTCACAGATTCATCATTGTTCTTTATTGTTGCATAATACTCCATTGTGTGTATGTACCATAGTTTGTTTATTCATTCTTCTGTTGATGGGCATCTAGGTTGTTTCCATCTTTTTGCTATTGTGAACAGTGCTGCAATGAACATGGGTGTGCGTATGTCTATTCGTGTGATGGCTCTTATTTCTCTAGGATATATTCCTAGGAGTGGGATTGCATTTTTCAGTGCTTTTTTTGTGGTGCTGACATTTTCTTTGTTCCTGTTACTCTCCTGTGCTGAGTTCCTTTTGTTTGTGGATTTTTTTTCCCATTTCTTTTGTTTTTCTAGATTTTTTTTTTACTGAGATTTTGTGTTTTTCTTCTTTATTTTGATGAGTAGGTTTGTTAACTTTCTTTGTGGTTACCTTAAAATTTACCTTTACCTTCCTAGATTTGAACCAGTCTATTATTATTTGGTACCGCCTTGCCTTCCTCTCCATTAGAAGGTTCTATCCCTACACCGTTTATTCCCTCCTTTATTGTTCTGATGCTGTTGTCAATTACAAATTAACCTCTCTGGTTCCCTTTGTAATTCTTTTGGTTTTGCATGGTCCTTAAGAGTTCATTTCCTAGGTTTGTATCTGGCTAGTACAATCCTGTGTCCTATATTCAGCCTGTTGTCTGATGTTGTTTGTTCTCAGTTCTAAGGACTCCCTTTAATAAGTCTTGTAAGTTTTGTTTGGTTTTTACATAGTCCTCTAATTTCTGTTTATCCAGAAATGACCTAATTTCACCATCCTATTTGAATGAGAGTTTTGCAGGATATATTATTCTTGGCTGGCAGTTTTTTTCTTTCAAGGTTTTATGTGTGTCATCCCATTGCCTTCTTGCCTGCATGGTTTCTGACAAATAATCTGAGCTTAGTCTTAGTGTTTCTCCTCGGTATGTGACTTTTTGTTTTTCTCAAGTTGCTCTCAGGATTCTTTGTCTGTCTTTGGTTTTAGTGAGTGTGATTATGATATGCCTTGGTGATTTTCTTTTGGGGTCTGTCCTGTATGGGGTTCATTGAGCTTCTTGGATGGTCAGCTTTTTATCTTGCATGATATTGGGGAAGTTTTCTGTCAGCAATTCTTCAATGATCCTGTCTGTGTTTTCTGTTTTCTTCTCCTGTTCTGGAACTCCGATCACTTGCAGATTTTTGCTTTTGATTATATCCCACATAATTCTCAGTGATTCTTCGTTTTTCTTTGTTCTTTTTTCTGATTTTTCCTCAAACAGAGTTGTAGCCAAGTGTTTGTCTTCAATTTTGCTGATCCTGTCTTCCATCGTTTCAAACCTGCTCCTCAGCGCTTCTATGTTACTGTCCGTTTCTGAAATCTTGTTGTTTATCTTTTGGATTTCTAATTGTTGTTTTTGTATGATGTCTAGTTGTGAATTTATTTTGGCACTTTGTTCCTATATTATTTTCTTGAATTATTCCATTTTTTTGTCCGTATTTTCCATGAATTTGTCTATTTTTTCCTCAGTTTTGTCTGCTTTTTACTTCAACTCTTGGATAATTCTGAATATTAGTGATTTGAATCCCCTGTCAGTTAGGTCTAGTGCCTTTTCTTCTACTGGAAGGTCATCTGGTGTTTTATTTGGGATGGCCTACTGGAACCATCCTGTCCTGTTTTTGTAAATGTTTTGATATTGTCTGCTGTCTTCGGGACATTCAGTGTTTATATTCCTCATTTATTGATTGTAGATTTGTTTGTTTCATCCTGCTTTTTTGTTTTATTTGGTTATGTCTGAGCAGGTGGGCTGTGCATTCTTTGTTTGCTTATCTGTGGGCACGATACTTTTCACCTCTTTCTCCAATGGGCAGGGTCAGTCACTCAGGTATGGTACAGCAAGGCAGGTCCAGCTGAAGGGGAGTTGCTGGGATGGGTTGTTTGTGGCACGTACCAGGGCTGACAGTGTGGACCGGGAATCAGTGCAGGGCAGGTTCCAGTAGGCCGTGCCTGTGCTGCTTGGGAGTGTGATGTTCAGCGCACGGTGCAGGTAGGCAGGAAGGAGGGGGTAGATTGTGATGTGTGGAGCTAAGATGGGTTTGGGAAAGATGAGAGAGAGGAGAGAGGAACAGGAGCCAAAAACATACACACAAACAAAAAAGAGTGTTAAGGGAGCTTGCTATTAGAGTGGAGAGATGAGAGACTGAGAAATGGGGAAAAACAAAAATGGGGAAGAAAAAGGGTAAAAGAAAAAAATGAATAAATCAAGAAACTGGAAATGAAGAAAAAGGGAATAAGAAAGAGAAGAAAACAAAACAAAGAAACAAAAACCAAAAAAAACAAGAAAAAAGAAATGCCCCCAGGGATGTCCCTGTGCATCTGCACAGAGTAAGGGGTAGCTTCCAAGCCACGCAGTAGTGCCTGGCTAGAATGGGCTCCCAAGTCGAGAAAAGAAAAAGAAAACAAACAAACAAATCAAAACAGAACAAATCAGAGCCAACAAACAAACAGAAAAGCCCCAGGTGTCCCACCAGCATGGTGGCACGGGCAGGGAAGCAGTTTCACAGTTGAGTGGTGTTTCGCGGCCTTTCAGGAAGAAGCGCAAAGATGGCACACGGAGCCAGGTATCTGAGAGAAAGGAGGGGAGGTGGTGAGAGGTAAGGAGGAAATCTAAAGAAGCAGAAAAAAGCAACACCAGCAGCCAACAAAAGGCAGTCAGGGAGCTGGCCAGTGTGGGTGGGTGGAATCCAAGCGACACCGGGGTGAAGCTGGTGCTTCCTGGCCAAGAGACTGTGGCTGCAGGAAGCAGAGGAGGCTAAGTGGGGGTGAAGAAGGGTGGGGGTTGGGATAGCATATATCGCTGGTTACTGGTTGTTCTTTCTCCTGCTGGAAGCTCCGTGAAGCTGCTTTCTCATGCTTCGTGTTCGCTGATCTCCAGTAGGTGTCCATGATGGCAGATCTTTTTCCATCACCCTTAACAGGAGCGCAATGTCCTCTAAGCAGTGACCTCCTCTTTTCCCCTCCCTCCCATTCCTGCTAACCACTAATAAATTTTCATTTCTATACATTTTTCTGATTTAAATGTTTCCTGTAAGTGGGATCATACAATATATATTTGTCCTTTAGTGACTTATTTAACTCAGCATAATGTTTTCAAGGTTCATGCATGTTGTAGCATGTATGATGACTTCATTTCTCTTTTTGACTGACTCCATTGTCTGTATATACCACATTTTATTTATCCATTCATCTGCTGATGAACTTTTAGGCTGTTTCCACCTTTTGGCTATTGTGAATAGTGCTGCAGTGAACACTGGTGTACAAGTATCTGTTTGCATTCCAGCTTTCAGTTCTTCTGGATATATACCTAGGAGTAGAATTGCTGGGTCATATCTCTGTAGTGTTTTTTAGTTTATAAAACTTGTTAATGATTACTCTAGGTATTACATTATATATACATAACTTATCATAGTTTACTGGTGTCATTATTTTACCAGTTCGAGTGAAGTGTAGAAACCGTACCTTCCTTTATGTCACTATTCCCTCCCCTATTTATAGTACAGTTTTCTTAAATATTTTCTCTAAATACATTTAGAACCACATCAGACAGTGTTATAATTTTTGCTTCAACTATCACACATAATTTAGAAAACTCAAGAGGATGAGGAATGAGGAAAGACTATTGTATTTATTTGTATTTTTCCTTGCAGTGTTCTTTCTTTATTCATTGTGTTCTAAGGTTTCTTCTTTCATCATTTTCTTTCTGTTGGAGAACTACCTTTAGTCATTCTTTTGAGCTGGGTCTGCTGGTGTCAAATTCTTTTAATTTTCCTACATCTGAGAATGCCTGATTTCCCCTTTAATCCTGAAGGATATTTTCTCTGGGTATAGAATTCTAGGTTGATGATTATTTTCTCTCAGCACTTGAAAAATACTGTGCCACCTCCTTCTGCCCTCTCTGATTTCTGCTGTCATTCTAATTGTTTTTCTTCTGTAGGTAAGGTATCATTTTTCTCTGACTGCTTTTAAGGTTTTTTCTTTGTCTTTAATTTTCAGAAGTTCAATTATGGTGTGTCTTGGCTTGGATTTCTTTGGATTTATCCTATTTGATGTTTTCTCAGTTTCTTGAATCTGTAAGTTTATGACTGTCACCAAATTTTGGAAGTTTTCAGCCATTATTTCTTCAAGTACTTTTCATTCCCACTCTCTTTTCTTCTCTGCTTCTGGGACGCCAGTGACTCGAATGTTAGATTTTTTTTGTTATAGTCCCAGAGACCTTGGAGGTTCTTCATTTCATCTCAATCTATATACCCTCTGCCATTCATATTGGGTAATTTCCATTGTTCTGTCTTCTAGTTCATTGATATTTTCCTCTCTCCCCTCTATTCTCTTCTTGAGACCATCCACTGAGCTTTTTATTTTAGTTCTAAAGTTTCCATTTGATTCTTTATATCTTCTGTGCCTTTGCTGAGACTTTGTTTCTTTGCTATCATTTTTATTTTTTAGTTTGTTTTAAGCATGCTTATAATTTCTTATTGAAGAATTTTTATTACGGTTGCTTTAAAATGTTTTTCAGACAATTCTAACATTCTGTCATCTCAGTGTTGGCATCTGTGATGGTTAAGATTGTGTGTCAACTTGGCTGGGCCATGATTCTCAGTGTTTCTATGTGATCACTCCTGTGATTGAATCTGCTGTGAGTAGCCAGTCAGTTGAAAGGGAGTTTCCTTGGGGGTATGGCCTGCATCTGAATATAAGCAGATGTTCTAGCTTTTTGCTGCTCTGGATCCTGTAGCTGCCTCCTGTTGTCTCACCTCTGGTTCTTGGGACTTGAGCTAGCAGCTTACTTGTCGATCTTGGGATTCGTCGATCTTCACAGCCTGTGAGCAAGAGTCCTGCTCCCCAACCTACTGATCTTGGGTTTGCTAGTCCCTGCAGCTGCATGTATCAGGAGAAACCTTGCGGTCTTGCCTGCCGATCTTGGAATTCGTCGACCTTCACAGTCTGTGAACGGGAGCCCTGCTTTCCGACCTGCCAATCTTAGGCTTTCCAGCTTCTGCAGCTGCATGAATTGGGAGAGGCCTCTATCCTGATCCATGGACTTGGGACGTTCTAGCCTCTACAATTGCATGAGCTGTTTCCTTGATATAAATCTCTATATATATTTATATGCTTTACTGGTTTTGCTTCTCTAGAGAACCCAGCCTAAGACAGCATCTATTGGTTGTTTTTTCTCTTTCAGTTGGAGATCTTCCTGGTTCTTGGTATGACAAGTAATTTTTTGTTAAAACTTTAGACATTTTGTGTTATTTAGCTGGCTTTCTCTGACACTTCTCTGGCTGGGGAAGGGCGGGATGCCACCTCATTACTATGTCCCCTACTTGGCCTCCATTGACACCGAAAAGTGGGGGCTTCTCATTATTGCTGGGTGGTGTAGGTGTTCTGGCTCCTCACAAGGTCTTCACTGACACAACAGCAAGCAGGCTGATTATTGGCTAGTGGGGATGAAAGTCCCAGCTCTCTACTTGACTTTCTCTGACACCACCCCAGTGGAGTGCTGGGGTAGCTTTTAATAGTCTTGAGAAAGTGAAAGTCTAGACTTTCCATTCCATACTTTTCTGTTTGTATGTTTTGTGATTTTTTGTTGAAAACTGGCCATTCAAATGTTATCATGTGGTAATTCTCAAAATCAAATATGCCCCCCTGCCCAGAGGTTGCTGTTCTTGACTGTTGAAGGCTGCTTTTGTCCATTTGCTTAGTGACTAATCACTGAAGTCTCTTTCCTTTTAACTTATATCAGCCAGTGTTTTGACAGGGATTTCTTGAATGTCAGGAGCTCAAAACCAAACCAAACCAACTAAAAACAAAAACAAAAAACCTCTCCCAGTCTTTGCAGATAAGTCAATGCCGAGGAACTCCTTTAACAGTTAGCTAGGTCATTTACAACTTTGCCTCAGCCTTCACTTCCTACCTGCACTGAGCCTAGAGATCAGCCAGTGGTGAAAGTTTAGTGTCTTCTGGAGGCTTTTCTGAGCATGTACCTTGTCCTGGGCTTTCTAAATTCCCTAGGTGCTTTTGAATTCCCTAACTTTTCAAAGAAACTCTCTCCCCTACTTTTCCTCCCAGGCTTTAGGTGGTCTCTTCTGTATGTCTCAATTGTAATCTTTTGCTCCATGCTGTGGGTTTATTATTTGCCTAACAGTGGTTTTGAGCAATGTTTGTCCCTTTTCCTCCCTGAGTGGGTTCCAAGTTAAGTGAAACAGAAATGAGTGCCTTGCATCAGTCCTTTGGGTAGCCTCCAGACAGGTTAGAACAGAGAAACACAGTAATTTGTGAATAAGGTCTGCTCTACTCCCTCCAGAACCAGGGACAAGGGTCCCACACTGGAACACAGGCTTCTTTATTTGGTATTGCCACGAAGCCAGGGAGGGGGTGGGACAAGGGCAAGTAAAAGTGCCACAAAGCTTTCTTACTGTTTTGAAGTTGCCAGTTTCTTGATTGAGCATTTGCTCAGTTGCGGTAAGCTTTTAGTTGTTTTCCAAAGTTCTGACAAAGTTAGTTCTGACAGTTTCTGTTTGTTTTGATGTTTCTATGGTGGGATGGGTATTTGTAGCTGCCTGCTTCACTGTTTTCACTCTGTATTGCTATTTTGAATGGGATCTTTTTTCCTTTTTTTTCCCACAGCTGGTTATTCTTAGTATGTAAGAAAGCTATTGGACTTGTATATTTATTTTGTAAATATTTCTCCTTGGAACTGTTAAAGCTGTACTCTCTTTGGCTTTAATTACTCTTTGGCTGATATGCTGTACGTTCTGCTACCTCTTGGCTCTGCACTTGCTGCAGATTCTCGCATATCTTTTCGGATATGTAATCAGCCCCAGAGCTCTGGGGCTGGGATAGAGATCTCTCCTTGCCCTCCCCTGGCTCTGCACAGGACCCTGTCCAGGCACTCAGCGATATGAATGCAATTTCCTATTTACCTTTTCTTAACCAAGCTTCATAATCAGCTAAGGCTTGGAACAGAGTTGGCTCTCAGTGGATATTTGTTAAAAGAATTAGTGAATGACCAAAATATTTGCCTCTTTGTTTCTAGACCCTCCAAATAGTTTTATTGAGAATGCTCTTGTATTTGAGAGATTTTCTCATCTTATTTTCCAACACTTCTAGTCAGTGTGTCTGTGTTTTGTGATATTTTCATCCAGCTTTACTTCATAACGACTTCTCCAATATCTCATGTTCCAAACGTTTATCGATTTGACAGTGAAGTTTTTCATTGGTCTGATATATAATGACCATTTGTAACTTGTTGGGTCTGTTGACTTTGACGTAGCTATTTCTGACTTGATGCCTCTCTCCTCCCTCCCAGATTCAGGCTTCTTCAGGAGAAACCAAGTACACTGGTACCTTTGACTGTGCAAAGAAGCTGTACAAAGAATCTGGGATTCGAGGCATCTACAAGGGGACTGTGCTCACCCTCATGCGAGGTAACCTTTGAGGTCCTCATCCTGAGAGGTTACCTGAGATGGGTCTGCCACAGGGGCTCTTGCCTGGATTGCCATGTTGGCCTCGTCACCATACATACCACAGCTCTGGCAAGGCCGGCAATGTGTGTCATAGTTTTAGGCAGCCTTGCCCCTTGCCAGCATGGACACAGATAAGCATGGGCAAAGTGAGCCATTCATCCTTTGTGGGGGCTGGGCTACAGTCCCTCAACGGTAGAAGCCATGACAGCACCTGTGGGAGAGTGGCAAGCAGATAGAAATCAAGGCTGGAGAAGTGAGTAGAAGAATGACTTAGGAACAGTGGGGCTCTCCCTGGTTTTGAGAGACATGACCTGCTGGGGTAGGAGTGGGAGAGGCAGAGACTGCCCTACGTTTGTCCTGAGATGGCAGCTTAGAGGCCCACCACATGGACTAGCTATGGCTATAACCACTTGGAGTGGGCATGACATGGGGCCCACTCACAGGGGACTTTTTAGATGCAATGATGTCATGCATATTGTGCTTACACAATCCTCTGAGCATGGCAGCTGGGCCCACTCAGAGGGGACACTGAAGATGAAATTATGTCATATGTGTTTGTGCTCTCACACTAGTGCTAACCCCAGAGCAGTGTCTGATAACTGCAAAGTGATTATTGCAGATAGGAAGTGGCTGCTGAGGAACTTCTCAGGAAACCTTGAAGGGTCCAGTGTCAACCTTGGTTTTTCTTTTCTAAGTTTAGGAAATGTGTGGGGATTTTATACCTTTTAATTCACCTCTTTCTTGTTACTAACAGATGTTCCAGCCAGTGGGATGTATTTCATGACATACGAGTGGCTGAAAAATATCTTCACTCCAGAGGGAAAGAGGTGACTAGAACAGAAGAACTTAGAAGCTACCTTCCCCAGTCATGGGTGGAATGTTCTCTCCTGTGGGTGGGTCTGAAGGCAGAAGTGGGATGTGCTCCTGGTGCCAGGTCCACTTTCCTCTCATGGGTGTTGAGGTCCTGCTAACACCTCCCGGTTTGTGCATCACCCAATGGAGCAAGTATGTGAAATAGGCACATGAAACCTCCTCTAAGAGTGGCAGGTGCTCTGTCATGGGAACCCTGACCTTGGATCTCCTTCCTCCAGTCAGATTTTCCCTCTCTGTAACTGCCCTGTCTGCCATAGGAGGGATGGTCTGAATAGTCCCACAGCCTTCATATGACTTAGGCTGTGATTGGTGTTCTGCAGTGTCAATGAGCTCAGTGTACCACGGATCCTGGTGGCTGGGGGCTTTGCAGGGATCTTCAATTGGGCTGTGGCCATTCCCCCAGACGTGCTCAAGTCCCGCTTCCAGACTGGTGAGTGACGAGCAGTGGGGTGGCTGGGAGTTGGAGTGGGTCCCAGGACTGGCTGCCCCTGGGGAGCAGAGCTCCGAAGGCCGTAGGGGATAATCACTGTCATCTGTCTGGCCCACATTTTGTTCTAGGAACCCTATACCCATTTTCATGTCAGCCTAAACACAAAATAATTGATATAAGAAGTCAGATCTGCTCTTCCTCTTCCACATGAGTGAAAGGATTGTTTCATTCTTTCTCTCTCTTCTCTGCACCCTCAGCACCAGTAATCCAGGCATTTGTGCCTGCTTGACCCAAGGTGTACTGTGTTGTCTATGGCCTGGTCCCGGGATGATGCACAAGGTGCCCTCTCCAATGCTATGGCCCTACAGGAAGACTTGACTACAAGCTTGTCCCCATGTGGGCCACCACAATCAGTTCAGGAGACTTCCTGAAGTCTTAACAGTTGGGTTCTGCCCCACAGCCCCTCCTGGGAAGTACCCTAATGGTTTCAAAGATGTGCTGAGGGAGCTGATCCGGAATGAAGGAGTCGCATCCTTATACACAGGCTTCACTGCAGTGATGATCCGAGCCTTCCCAGCCAATGCAGTAAGTGATTGGCAGGGGCTGTGCTTTCCCTTCAGGGCTCAGAGCAGGGAGCAGGTGGGTGCTTTTACTTACTCCTGGGATTGGACTAGGGACTCAGTCTTCCCAAAACCCTGCACTGAGCCAGAGCCTCCTTACTTGCTTCTTTTTTTTGAAGTTGTCAGGGGGATTTGCCTTTGGAGTTCTGTGAGGAGAGGGGCGTCCATTTCCTGACTTTGTCACCAGGAGTGGACAGTTGTGGAACAAGAATTTTCCTCCCCTCTAAGAATGAGAGAGTGGGGAGTGGGGTTAGGGAGGGGTTCCAACCTGACATGGCTTTTGTCTTTCTTCCAATTCCTTCTCAGGCCTGTTTCCTTGGCTTTGAAGTTGCCATGAAGTTCCTTAATTGGATCACCCCCAACTTGTGAGGCTAAAGGCTTCTCAAGGCTCTGAATGCTGGAAGCTATTGCCAAGGAGGGGAGGGGAATGATGGGATCAGAGCTGTGTGTGTGGACTTGGTGAGACTGTTGCCTTAATGACATTGTCTGCCTTGTGTTACTTGGTGTACCATTTTGAAACTTGAATTCACTCTTATCGATTTAAGGGATTTCAAGAGGATTTGGAGATGGAAGTAAGTAGCTTCCAGACCAGCTACCACCTGTGGTCAGAGTGCTACCCACCTCTTGACTGATGACCATACTATATCCAAAATACTCCTTACCAAAACTTTGCCTCTCACTGGAGGCACTATGCATGTTTTTGACTAGCTTACCTCTTCGATTTCCAGGGTACCATCTAATCCTGGGCTGCACATAGAAATGTGAACTTGAGGTCCACATCTCTCTTTCCATGTGGACTGGGCATGTGTGCCTGTGAGCAGATAGCCTGTTCACAGTTGGGTTTTGGTTTCTTTATGGATGCAAGTAATCAAGAAGTAAAACTAGAGTATCACAATTTCCCAGGAATAGGTGGAGAGCTTCCCCTACTGCATAGTGGGAACAGTTTTGAATCAACAGTCCCAGCTTGCTAGGATTAAGTAAGAAAGCCCAGGGTGTAGGAAGGCTCTTTTTGCATACTCTCCTCTCAGGAGAGCACCCTATTTTAACAAGAAGCAATAAATATTGTTTCTAATTTTTGCAGTGTGTGATTTTTTTTTTCTTTTGACTCTGGGCCATTTCAGTAGGCAGCCTGTGACTTTGGTGGAAGCTGTGTGGGATCCATTGTCCTTCCCTGGGAGCCTCAGGCAGGGGTTCCAACAGGAGAAAGAGGAGGAAGTACTAGGCGTCCTAGCCTTCCCTGACTGCCCCAGTCCCTGCTGCAGGAGGGAGGCTGGGTGGGGCAAGGTGACTTTATCTATAACAGCCCACAGTACAGGCTTGGCATGCAGGCCACCATGAGGCCCAGCCTGCCACCCATACCTTCATTCATTTCCCTCTCTGCCCTCAGCCACATGGATGTCTGAGCTAACAGATGGAGAGTCTGTTGTCCTAAAAGGGCAAAAGCAATCCCAGGTTATTAATGTGGGCCTTGGGGTCACCATGTGATCTGACCTTGTCACCTTGGCTTTCCTAAATAGGCCAGTGATGATGTCCAGCTATGGTCAGAGTGGAGAGTCCTAAGTCCTTGTCTGGTGGAGGGGAGGGCATGCTGAGGCTGCTACAGCTGGGCTTCTCTGTCATTGTCCCTGTCTGGCTGTCACTTACAATTCTGTGGGCACTTCCTACCTCTCTGCAGCTACATAGAGACCCTTGGACTTTGGCTTTAGAACCGTCACTGTGTGTTTATAAGCAAAGGGAATTGGGGGTGTGGCCAGCCAGGTGGGAAGCTGAAGATTGGGGGTTTAAGAAAGGAGGCTTTATTCCTGAGAAGATATTTCTAGAAGGCACAATAGGAACCATGACCAAGTAGCAAATAACATTTGTTAAAGATGAAAATTTGTGTGCCCTCTGCCTGGGAAGGTTAATCCAGTGCTAAGCCTCCTCCCTCTAATGCTGGGGGGATGTCTTTGTTTCATCTCTCACTGATTTTGAGATGGCCACACATGTGTCTCCTGACGCTCTTGGAACCACCCACTCCTTAGACTATGGTGAAACCTTGGCCTTTGCCCAGAATCCCTTGTGAGCACATTTGCATTCCAGCCAAATGCCAGCCTCTTCTCATGGCTCAGGATCACTTTTACAGTCTGTGTCTCTGGATAATTTGCTCTTTGAAACATCTTCCATTTTAAAATGGAGTGTTTTGGTTCATTGATGTTAGTGGTGGTAGCTTCTTTTACTCCTTCAAGTGTTTAATAGATGTTAAGTCAAATAGGGAAGCCCCTGGAGGCATATTTGTGAAGGGAGCAGAGCAGATGGTGAGTAACTCCGTCTGGCTGGCACTTCCCTTTTATGATGAGCTTTGAAATGCCACTTGTTCCTGATGTATCTCTTCTCCCTTTGATGGAGGCTGTGTGTGTCAGGGGGAGGGGAGAGATCAGGGCCCTCCCCAGCAATTTCTCTGTCACAAACAGCCTTAAGTCAAATCCAGATGGTGATTGTTAAAACAACCAACCAGTGATAACAGCCTCACCTGGGTACAAAGAAGGGTAAAACTAGGGCAAAGGTGAGGGACAGAGGCTGGGACGGATTACCCAATAAGCAATATACACAGAGGCTTACTTGTGTTTGCTTACTAATCTGTAATGCACAATTTCACATGGGTTTCACCACATCTTTGATGTTGTGAAAAACAGGTAAACACAACTAAGTAACAAATAAGGTAAACACAAGTAAGCCTCTGCATACCTTATTTGCTGGTTAACTCGTCCCTGGACAGCAAATAGGTTGTTGCAGCAACAGCCTGTTGAAGCACAGTAGCACCATTTCTGCTGTAAGGTCATACAATCTCCACCCCACAATTTCTTCCCTACAGCCTTTTGAGGCTGGAACCCTGTACAGATAACCTTTTCTAACCTCCTCATGGGTTCCTAATCTGATTATCCCCACATAACATTTAATGGGTGGGGATTTTTACCTTTATTTTACAGATGTGGAAGCCAAGGCTCAGACAGGTAAACTGATCTGCCAAGGTCATTGGCAGATTGGTAATAGAGTGGGTATTAGTGTCTGGGCATCCATAGGCCTGAAGAAGGCCTGTGGTGCTATCAGATGTTGTTAGAGGCTGCTTGACGTAAGCTCCAGGAGGCCAGTGTGTACTGCATTGTCAAAACCCAGGCACCTGGGGTGGCACATGAGTCCCAGAAGGCACTGGGAAGGCCCCTAGGGCTCCCTTTTATGCTTTCTCTGTGTGGTCTGTATGTAGGCTTGTGGCTCCCCAGCCGAGCTCCCCCATGATTCTGAGGTTCTATCCTTGCCCTGAGATGTCCCAGAGGCAGATCCTGGCTCCACTGCAGACTTTGACAGTTTCTTAGGACACAGTATTCTAGGAAGGGGGTTGTGGCTTGCAGGTGCAGAAACAGGTGCTTTGGGAATTAACTGCTCCCTGGAGCATGGATACTTGTTAAAATAGACCAGACCTCCTGGATCAAAGGCAGTAGCCTCATGGGGGAGGCCCCGCAGGGGCTGAAGGACAACTTGGGTGAGGGCAGAGGAACATAATTCCCTTTCCCAATCCCTCCTGCCCACTGGAAGCTTGGAAACACTTCTAGATGAACTAGAAACGGTGGTGTTAGGTACTAAGTAAGCTGAGAGAACTGGACCAGGGAAAGACTGGCATGTAGAAGTGGTCAGGTGACCAGCAGGTCCCAGGAGACATGTAGGGAGGTGGGGTGGCTAAGAGAAAGGGCTCCTTTGGGCAGGGAAGAGGGAGGTGTTCATGCTGGGGTTGAGTCCCCTCAGCAGGGAAGGCGCATCAGAGAGGGTACAGGGTGTGTATAAGCTGGGGCTTCTGGGCACAGAGTGGGCCTCCAGAAGAGCTGAGAAGAGTTTTAGCATACTTCCTGGGGTTGGGGGGACTTTTAAATAATAAACCCATATCCCTGATGGAGCAGGAGAAAGGTGGGGTGCAGAAATCAAATTCTAGTAAAAAGACCAGACTTAATGGCCTGACTGAGACTGGAGGAACCCTGGAAAGCATGGCCCCCGGACTCTCTGTCAACCCAGAACTAAAACAATTCCCGAGGCCAGCTCTTCAGACAAAGATTGGGCTGGACTGTGGGACATAAAATGATACTCATGAAGAATGTGCTTCTTAGCTCAAGTACACGTGAGATTAAACGGGCAGCTTCTGTCTGGAGGTGAGATGAGAAGGCAGAGAGGGTTAGGAGCTGGTTGAATGGACATGGGAAATTGGGTGGAAAGGAGGAGTGTGCTGTCACAGTACAGGGAGAGCAACCAGGGTCACATAACAATGTATGTATAAATTTTTGTATGAGAAACTAACTTGAAATGTAAACTTTCACTTAAACTACAAGAAACAAAAATTTGAAATTCAAAAAAAAATAATAAACCCATAAAGAGTATATGAAATCCTCTGTTTCATTGGAAACAACAGTTGGTACCCTACCCGTGTTCATTTTCACTGAGTCCCACTGATACAGGGTTAAACATGATCCTACCTGGGTTATTCTGCATCCGTGGTTGTAAAATCTCTCAGAATTGGCCCCATGTGTCCACATCTGTGCCTGTGGCTGGTGTTGTGGCAGTTTGTGCAAATGTTGGTGCCTGCTGGGTAGTGAGTAGGACTGGGTTGGGGTGGAGCACCCTCAGGGCTCTGGGGCTGCCTCTTCTCCACCATGACCTCTGTATGTCTCTTGCTCTTGAGGGTTTCAAATCCTTGCCTTTTCCACTCACTGTCACTTGCTGTTGGCATCTGTTTCCCAGCTACTGGCTGCCTGTGGGTTTGGTTGCCATGGTAACCCCCAGTGGTGCAGCTGGACAGGCTTGAATGGAGGCAGTTCTATGAGGCTAAGAGTGGAGAATCCAGGGCTCAGGTGCCTGGTATTTTCTCTTGCTTCAGGGCTCACTGCCCTGGCCAGCTCAACTGGGCATGCATGACGGCCCTTGGGGGTTTACTTGCTACTGAAGCAATGCCTAGAAGGCGCAGAGATGAACCCCTGCTCTGGAGACCAGGTGCTGGGGGAGGGAAGCCAGGTTAGGCCTGGAGGCTGGCTGTCCATCCTTCCTCTGAATCCAAGGCTGGTCTATGGAGATAGGTGAGGAGCAATCATGGGGTTCCCCGTTTTCTGTGGTGGTCCTCACACCCGCCACGGATGGAGGATGGATGGCCAAGCTGTGGGGCATCTGAGAATAAGCCAGATAGATGATGGGCCTGCTTCTGGCAGAGGCCAGTGGGGGTTGTTTGGAGTGACTGAGAGGATCTGCTGGAACCCAGCTCTGCTGTCAGCCCTGAAGTAGCCTTTCTCCTGCTTTCATTCACAGCCTCCCTGTCCCGTTTTGTAATTGAGGTCAGAGTCCTAACTGCACAGATGCCCACCCACTTTTAAAACATATAAAACCCGACAGTAGAGGCAAACTAGGGAGAATTGTGAATTTGCCTTTCCAAAAGGTTGGCCACAGGATTGCTTGACAAGGGGCAGATCCCTAGGTGTGGTGGTGCAGTGGGAGTCACACCCAGGTTTCCAGGGTATCAGTCAAGGGCTGACCCTCAAAGGGAACATGTCTCCCTGTAAAACTCGGGAGGGTCAGTCTCCCCAAGAGCAGGAAGTGTTGAGGGGCCCTGCTCCTCCAGTTCCTCACTGCCCACCCTTAATGAGGTCTTCACATTCGGAGTGCAGAAGCACAGCTTTGAAGCAAAAGATTCCAGTTCTAAGACTGCAATGTTAGGAAAGCAGTTTCACTGGCTTTGCTTGCTGTGTGGAAATGTATCATACATTCATTCAGTAAACCTTCTCCAAGAGTGTGCAATAAGAACCCAACAGAGAACAAATCAGACACTGCCCTTCCCTCACAAAGTTAATGACCCAAGACTCCTCCCAGGGGTCAAGGAACTTGTCCAGGGATAAACTGCTGTTTGGAATCACAGGGCTGCCTGGTCTAGAGCCTGGGCTGACCGCTGCACCAGCAGGGATCTTGTGCTCCTGCTGCCAGGAGCTCAGTTCCCAGCAGCACTCATCTCTTGAGTGTGTGCCAAGCCAGTATGGGAGGTGCTA